AAATGGCAAGGTAATCAAAGATTCTACTTGCGCTTTATTCAGTGACTGTGCACGTATTTGGTACTATTATATTTTCTTTTGTTCGTTGATGTTGTTGCACTGGAGAAATAGTGTGCTTGCGATTTGATGTCACAGTGCAATCCTATGGTTTACAATAAAACAATTTGAATCGAGATTAGATATTTTGCCGCTACAGCTACCAAACCAGATATGTGTTTATTTAAAACTGCGATCCTGTAGTTTCCTTTAAGAAAAACACCATGCAAAAATGTAACTTTTGTGGCAGGCAATATCAAATTGTCGGAGTCAAAAGAGTCCGTCAACAATATTGTACATTATATCAAATTATATCACCATATTAGCTATAACTAAATATTTGACATTATCAATATATAAGAGTAAATCTGCGCCTCAAACCCCGATTTGTTCCAATATAAGCCAATATAATGCTGAATCGCGAAATCACCCTTTTAAACCGAAACGACAAAGGCAGACAAGGCTATTGTGTTTGAGGTAACTCGGGCTGACTGTAAGTGTTCAAGTCAACAATGCTGTTCATTCATGTGGAGGAAATTGATCTGTTTTGGCAACCAGCCAAGTACTGGTGCTAGAGGTATTACAAATTGTGCTGGGGGCGAATATTTAAGCCGAGTGCAGTCACGTGACCGATACCAACACAAAATCAGTTTCTGACTTTGAATAATGTTTTAATATACGTTTTATGTACTTTTCAAACGATTAATAACATGTTATCTGCAGTGGAATATGTTATATGCACTGTTGTTCCTTGAAGTAAGACACGTCACCCAATCTTACAAGCGAGAATACATCACTGAAAACTTTACATTCAACTCGGGATGTCACAAAGTCCGAACAAGACAGTTTATTCTTTCAAACCAGTCTGGAATATTGCTGAGTGCATCGCTAAACAACAAACAAACTAGAAACATTGAGGTTCAGAATCGCTACCGTGTTGCACGTGTCGTGGGGCTAGTGCATTTGTAGCGTGTTGCAGGTGTAACTGAGGTGAAATCATCCAACACATTAATATTGGAATTAGAAGTGCTTACGAGGTTTTTCCTTATTTCTGAAATAGTATTTATGTCTGCCAGCCTGTTTTAGTTCGAGGTATGTTACCTTTCGGAATTTAAGTAAGTTTTATAAAAGCCGTGAGGATATTCGACAGTTTTCATTTCATCAGAATACCAGTTAAAAGAACGTATATATATTTATCTTACCTGACACATGGATGTCGGATTCTGATTGGTTCAATGTAGCACGCTAAAATGTAAACCTTAGTCCCCGCGCGAATTGCCGAACTGTTGCATTACATTTGCAATCAATCGCAATTTTGTATCTCAAATTAATGATGTAACACGCCATTCTCCGGATATTTACGATATTTTCCGAATGAAATAAATCTAGGGGCAACAACTCTAAGATAGTTTTCTGTCGTCTGCTACTTTGCCCAACTGTGGTATTTTTACCGCTTAGGACCAAAGCATGCAGTACTAAACATACCTGCAATATAATTAGGTGTCCCCACCGGTCCCTCGGGATACGTGGGTTGTTGGTTTATGTTTTTCGCCCTTCGAGCTCGGGGAACATAGAGGGTACATCAACCCATGTCCACCATCGAGAACGGTGAACAACTTATTATCTGCGAAATCGGTCTTGTCCATAGGTGCATCAAAAGTAATTGCTCCTTTAAAGGATATACACTATAAATGAGCACACCTAAGTATGTTTACATGCCGCCCTCTTGGTAGAACTAGGTCTATATGTATGTTGGGTTACATTTAGAACTGATATGTACATATAAACATCGCATATACCACGCATCAATGGCGTAGTGTTAGTAGAGACAATGATAATACACCAGAAATAATAAAGAACAGGGCTATAGGAGACACAAGCTTAACTGGGTCTGCTATAACGACAAATATATACTTGGTGTATAGGTTGACTTGTCAGCTTATTATCGCCATCTGTTAATCTGCTTCTCCTGAATAGCATAAGTCCCAGTTGATTATTTACTACATAACAGGCAATACCACATCTATTGTGTTTATATAGTATTATGGCTACTACAATAATCTTTCCTACACAAAACAATAGGTATGTCATTCAACGTTTACAAATCCGCTAACTCCAATTACATACCCACATGTAAGAAATGCATTAATATCCCACCGTCAACTCAACTTATAAATCGTAATACCCAAGGTCACGTGATCTGTCAGTTATGAACCAACATGATATATATTATTTAACTGCATATCAGTGTTACTTGACATAGGTCTTTATTGATCAAAAGAGCCATACAGGAGCCGGACAAACGCGGCCATGTGACAATGCATATGTTTCCCCAATTAGCGTTTTACGTACGGTGTATCGACCTCCGCGAGCTGTCGAAGGCCTGGCCTGCGCTGACCGAGCACAGAGCACACGGCTGAGCTTGGAGGAGAAGTCCTTCCTTCATCCAGCGTTCGCGTTTCGGATTATTCCATATTTCGAGGCATCTTCATTTCGATGCTGACATTTCTTCACGTTATGACGTCCCTGTTCGGTAAATATTATACACATTTATATGTTTTGGTGACAGGATTGTGAAAAAATTGCTTCAAATATGAATCAATTTTCTGACGACAAATTTAAACATTCATTGTTGTGTGTGTTCTGTGAAACATTAGACAATTTGTGATGTAGACTTAACTATATTTACCACCAGACATTCAATTTGCATTTATCCCAAATTTGAGAACCATATCGTACTGAAACGTTCTGCACATATTTTAACGTCGATAGTCTTCTCATGTTTTCGTACATTATTTATATGGCTACCAAGGCGACATTGTGCCCGGAAGGTATTTCCTTTTCAGAAAATTTAAAATTCTGATTTTTATCTTACTAAGCTTTGTACGGACTATTGTTCATTATTTGGGTAACATAAAACAGGTTTTAATGCAATGGGTGGCAATATTGTTAGTCATAAAGGTCATATCTACTCAACAACGCCGCCGTGAATAATGTGTAAATTATACTATTGGCTAAAAAACCCTTTAAAGCATTCGTGCAATATTAACGTCGTCTGTAAAAGGTATGTGGTAAATAACTAAAGGTTACACATATGTAATTATATTAAGGACAGTTGACATACATATTTATTGTAAAATTTATTGTATGATGAATCCGAAACTATAAATATTCTGCCTTGAACGGCAAGGAGATGTGTTTTTATTTATATTTCCAGCAGTATCTAGGCAACGGAGTAATAATTCAATAAAAACATACACAAATATTTGCATTGAGCGTTTGCTTTGACAAGGTCAGGTAAGTGAACAAGCACTTTGTATGAATCAGTGTTTAGATATGCCTTAATTGTGTAATACTGAGTGACGTAAAGCTTGATAAAACAGTAACCCTGGGTGTTTAAAGTCGATAAGAACTGCCATGGTGCATCCGCATCGCAGATAATAGAGCCCAGCCGTAACACAATGAAAAGGATTATCGATTAGTATATGTACAGGTGGGTGGCAATCATGTGTAATCTACACTTGTGGTGTAACTCATTCACAGCACAAATTGTAACACATCACCCCATTACTCTGATATCACGGAAGACGCTTCCGGCGGATAGCGTGTGTTATTAAATACGGATTAGTGGGATATGATTTCATATTAACTGAAAGGCGCAATTAACATTATTTTTGCCATGATTTGTTGCCAGAGGGTGTTAATCACTGAATAGGTTTTCGGTATGGGAAAACAACATATTGTGTATGTATGCTTAATGACCAATGCGTAATATACACATGGGCGTTAATTAAGCACCACCTGATTCAAAATCCAATTCCGAAAAATATTGACAAACCCTGATCTGAACCCATGTTACCTTTGGGTTTACCTTGGCCTCAAAGTGAGAGCTAGCGACCCTCCACTTCAAAACCTGAATGAACTGACCTAGACACTGCACCAGGATCTCAATGCTGCTTATCAGACGTGAGGAGACGCCTCGCGAATGTCATCCGTGAGAGGGGTGGACACTCCAGATACTGATTGCGGAGTCAGTGGTTGTTCCTGTGTTGACAATAATCGTATTTCACTGCATAGTGAGATTCGATTCGTGGGTGCTGGTACATTTCAGCGTTGTTGAAATGAACGTTTTTAGACGTCTTCGCCAAAAGCCAATAAATTGGTACCGATTGCTGGTGTCAACTTCAACTTTATGTGATTGTTGTGCCAGGCGTTTTGTTCGTCAGTTTACTACTCCTTTGTCGTGTTTCCAAGAATGAATAATAGCAGTCATGTTTTATAGTCGCACATATCCGGTGGTACTTAATTAATGCTCATGTGTATAATGTATCGGAGTAGAAACTACCGCTGTAGGAATGAAAACAGATAAGGAGGTCGTATAGGTGTAACGAACTACAGATATAACGTTCTACTTACAACCACGTTAGTATAGGTGCTTAACACCACGACCTATCTACACAAAATTTAGTGTATGAAATTGGTCAATATGAAATCCTATATCTGAACCTCAACTTTCATCTGTTGTCCACAATGTTTATGAGGTTATGTATCAAGCTTGTGTCCACGCAGACCAGGTTCAAATGAACACGAGCACCACCATTGTTGATATGACCCTGTACAAACTAACCCCGATAGGGCTTCACTGATTATAGCCAGGTGTTCAAAGTCGTACACTATGATGTGATAGGCGGCTAATTACAAGATCAATATTGTTAATTATTAACCAACATTAGCATGCAATGTCATGAGGGCTGAGACAATTTGACAATATGTACACGAGCATGTTGTGACACAACCCTTTACCCGACCGCTTGCAAACAGTCAGAATCTTGGGAAACAAATTATGCTATGTAAATTCTGTGACGTGTAGTTGATTAGTCAGAGCTTGTTTCCATGTCGCGTTTACAAACGTTCTGAAGTGTAAGAACTGGCTTGGTCTTATGACGTGCACTTATTCTCTTCAGAGGACGGCCCCAAAGCGAACGCTGGGGAAACTGCCTCGTCTGAGGCTGTGGTGTCCGGGGAAAAGAAGGAGGACACGAAGACTGCAGAGGAAGAACTTCCAGGCATGGATAGTCGACCTGCCGCCGTATGCAGGTACCGGTGGGCGAAGACCGTCCCCACCAGTTCGGCTGAAGTGATCTTCTTTTCATCCAACAAGCCGGTGAGTGTTGCAAACAAAGTGCCGTCGCTTATCAGGTCGTTCGTCTATGTTGAAGTGTGTGAGATACAAGAAACTTCATTTAACGTCAGTTATTCGGTTTTAAAATACAACATTAGCCCTTCACAAATATTATTCCGACAAAACTTTTCGATAGTCATGTCACAGTCGTAAGCTTAATTCAGTCGTAGATCTACGTTAATTTTTTTACTTTATGATAACCATGGTAGCGATCGTAAGGTGTGTTCAGTCGTTAAATTTTTGGCCGTTACGATACGCATTGTATCAATTGTAAGTCTAAATCAATAGTAGGTCTACGTTGGAGTGCTGATTATGGTAGTAGCGATTGTAACCCTGAGTTAGGCGTAAGGCTATGTTAAAGTGTGGGAGTTAAAATAGTTACGGTAGCAGTCGTTCTCAACGCTAATTTAGAAGTACTAATCTTATGTGTTGAAGTGTGTAAGTGACGCTGGTAAAGTAGCACTTCAGCTGTCGTAGGTGTAAGTATACTTAACAATAGTCTTACAGTCGGTTTGTGCAACATGTCACAGATGAATAAATGATATTTATCGTTGCTCCACAATAAATTCATAGTCTATATCATTGTCGGTTTAAAATCAGTTTTGAATTAAACCTGCCCGTATGAATCATGTCAGTTGCAACAGTGTATTGTTACACAGATATGTCGTTATCGTGTGATTCGGAAAACTAATAAATTACCACAGTGTATAGGTCTTACTTGACTGGCAATGTTAGATTAGAATAACGTTAACCTTTCACTGTTAACCACTTACTGTGAAAATTAAGTGCATTTGAATAAGTTGTGTTGACGCATGAACTAGCCATTACATGATGTTGACACACCCTTTGCCATAACTCGCCGTGACTGGAAATAACTTCGGGAAAAGAAGAGTACATTTTGCACATCCCCATGGCAGAGTGTCGCGAGTGTCACCCGTGAGAGGGGCGGATACGCCAGATACTGTTTCGTTGGTTTTCCACTGCATAATGTGACAGTCCGAGTCGTGGTGTTGGCTGAGTGCTGATACTTTTTAGCGTTGTTGAAATGAACATTTCTAGGTTTCTTGGCATAACGCCAATACATCGGTAACGATTGCTTGTGTCAGCTTCATTACTTGTGTGCATCACGTCAGTCCAAAATTGCATAATTAATTCTTATGTATATACTAGAATATTGTAGAAGATAAAATACACTACCCGGCTGTAAATCAACGGCCGTCTTGAAGGCCATGTCATAATGAGGGCACATATTTGCGTGAGCATCACCAGAATATTAATGTTGTGTTTCTGTTTGTTATACCACGACACGAAGGCGCTATGTCACCACTGTGCAGTCAGACAGTGTAAGAGAGATCCATTAGGATTAACGACATCATGATACAACCCACTCGTCGTATTGTCGGTGGATACAGAGATTAACACGTTCCTTTTCCACACCCTGTATCCCAAGAACGAGTTTCTTATCTACGATGTAGCAAGACAGTGATCACTGTGTTTATCACCATACATAAGCCGCAATATAGCAAATGGTGTTTATTGTTACTATTAAAGCTACGCCATAACCATCATTGTGTTTGAAGGTCGTGCACGATCAGTACTATGCAGCAGACTTTTAATGACTGCTTCATAGTAGGCCTGTTACGATTCACTCGCGTATTCGATGAATCGAACCGTATACCTTCATCAGTTGAATTTGTTATTCGTGGTCACTGGAATCGAATACGTACGATATTTCGGTAAAGAGTGTTTTTTAACTTGTCAGTTATTTATCAAAGCTAGATATGCAAAATGGAATATAAACAAGCCAGCAGTGGTGTAACTTGTGTCAGTTTGTCAAGGCCCCTAATGGTCCTGTCAACCAAAACATGAGGCTATAGTATAAGCAGCATTGTTGCAATGTATTGCTTGTTTGCTTCACAAAAAATATCCCAGAAATGTTTCAACCTAAGCAATACCATGACATACATTTACGTACATTTTTAGTTAACTCAAGTTTTACACTGACACGATGTTTTCCCCCAATGTAAAAGACAATAACAGCTGATTACCGTGAGCACGTAACACCGGAAGTAACTTGTTATTGTATTCGTGAATAAATATTCGTATTCGTTACCCTATATTCATGATACGTATCATACTCGCCTCATATAGTGTATTCGTTGCAGCCCTACTTCATAGTAAAGAATTTTTTGCATTCTTCCATTGGGTTTGTTGCTAACCCGTTTGGGGTCCACCAAATGATCATATCCGTTTATTAATGACTGAAACTGTATAACAACTATGATGATATGGGGGCTTATCTAACCGTGTACGCAACAGACCACTTGTCGAGACAGTCCAGTTCAACATCGAGGCGTTATAAAGGGATCTACAAGAAAGTCACTTAAACCTGTCTTTCCCTTTAAAGCTGCAGTATATTTTCAATGGGTTATGGTATTTTACTATTACCTGTGTGAAGAGCACAGAAATTGCAAAGCGGATTGTGAATTTTTTTTTATATTGTAGCATTAAAACAAAAAAATACTCTGAAAATTAAAAATCGTTATAAGGCCTATGTGGAGTCTATCTTAATTCACTTTAAACACCAAAACGCTTGACATATTTATAAAAACAACGTACTTTAAATATTTGTTAGTTTCTTCTGAAGTTACTTTTGTCTTTAAGTGTACGTTTTCACCGACTAGGTTATGTATATGTGTGTGCGACTTCCGTAAAGAATAAAACTAGACATTCAAACTATAATGATTGTACAAAAACCTGCGCCTGTACATCGGCATCCCTCGTTGACAACCACCCAACCTTGGCAGGTTTATAGATACCCGATTTCACTGATCAAGTCCTCTTGTGTGTCGTTCCCCACGATGGAGTTGCTGGTATTATTTCTCGTCGTTACAGTCACCGCATGCCCGGTAGCAGCGTTACCACAACGGAAATACAAAGACAATGCGATTGTAATCAATTATACACGTGAAGGAGGGTGTATTGATATGTCATCGGGTTTATTACAAAGAGAAGATATAAGGTTATGCATTTATAATCAGTTTTCTGATCATATTATATAGCAGATCAATGGGGGTATGAATATTTCATAGTGTTAAAGGTGAGGTGAGGTGAAATTGGGTTTAACGTCGCGTCCAAGATTATTGCACTTATATAGCGACGTGCATGCACGTGTATGTGTGTGTGTGGCTGCTTGTACTAGTCCGGACTGATGCCGATTTATAGTGCTAGCTCACTGAGATACCATGCCGCAGTTTAACATGAATACCCCACTCAGACACAGTATACTGACTCCGAGCCGACCAGTCCTTGTTTAAGCCCCTTAATGCCGAGCGCCAGACAGGGTAACAACAAGTACAATCTTTTTAACGTCTTTTTGTATGACGCGGCCCGGGATCGAACCCTGGACCTTCCGCTCTCCGGGCGGACGCTCTACCACAAGACCACGGAGGCGGTCCATAGTGTTAAAGGATGAACCTTGACTGTTGGGTGAAACAACGATTTGAAAACCTGGTTACATGCATGTATTCAGTGCGCGGGTGCGGGATTCACAGTTGTCTCCCCCTTCGCTTTTAGTCTATTTACATTGAGGAGGAAAACGAAATAATATTAGTAATAAATGTTTCATTCGTAATTCAATCTGGCTTGATCAACAGGGATATGGTTGGCCAAGTCGTCTAAGGCGTCGCAATTCATTTGACAAAGTTGCTTCTTTCAGGTGTGCCAGAAACACAGCTATGGTCCTGAGATTCGCCCTAATTATGTTTCAGTGTTTGTCGGCACTATACTTGCTATTGTGTTTTACCGACCTGACCGTGAAGATCCAGGTTAGAATAGGTCTTCATCAGTCCATGCTCGTCTTAAGAGGCGCGACTTATGGATCGGGTGGTCAGGTTCGCTGACTTGGTTGATGCATGTCATCGTGTCCGAATTGCGTGGGTCGATGCTCATGATGTCAATCACTGGATTGTCTGGTCATGATTCGGTCCAGATATAGCTGGAATATTGCTGAGTCCGGCGTTAAACAACAAACAAATATTGTGTTTAAACCAAAGTTGTAAACGACTAAGACCTTGCCTCACACATCAAGCTGATATACAGTTCAAAGTGGTTATAACCAAATTCACTCACTCACTCACTCAGGCACTATCAACAACATATACTAGTTTATCAACTTCACATGTGTTTCTGGTTGATTGAGTATCTTAAACTTTCGTTCTCTGAAACGGGGTACAATCCAATCTAAATGTTGAATTACAAGAGAGATCAACTTTAAATAGTATTGCTTTGAAATTCAACTGCTTTTCCTCTGACACCCACACGGGCAATAGTTGTGTATGAAGTGTAGCTGATATAGAATGTTCGTTTCGTGTACCACTTGGTGACGTGGTACAGAACTATAGAACAGGCGCTTATACACATTATCAATGTAGTTAATGGGCTTTACGATATGTTCATAGCATACTTTGCAAGATAAGCAATATTGTTATGTTCTACCATATGAACGAATATTATCCTGTACAGTATATTCCTAACACGCAGTTCTGTCCTTGTCCCCAGAACGAGCCAGTGGTATTGTCGTGGAATGACGCCCAAGCTGTCTTCTACTCGGTGGAGATGCAGGTGCCGAGTGGAGATTTCCATGGCAACCTCGTCGTAGAGGGCGCTACCTACCCTTTGGAGGATCACAATGTCCGCCCCTACACGTTCGAGGTCGATCTCTACATCAAAGACGGTAAGGGCCCCCACATCGACACTGTCGATTTACACTGCTGAAATAAACAATAGAAGTATACATGTAATATCTCTCTCTCTCTCTCTCTCTCTCTCTCTCTCTCTCTCTCTCTCTCTCTCTCTCTCAATTCATTTCACATCCATGGTTACTTCTGTATTTGCATCAGCACGAGCGTCAGAACTTTCGAGAGTGCAAGTAATCTACCTTTATGTTATACGTAAGTACATATATAAGGTATATCGCTATACTAGTAGGGTTACTATATATTAACCACTGGAAACTTACTTTGGAATTTCACCCATGCAAGTCTTTTTTTCAATATGATTCCCTTTAATGATCATAACGGCGTAAACATAATTCGTGTGCATGTACACTTTGTTACATTCGATATGTGTAGTTGGTTGGTTTGTTGTTTTATGCCGCACTCAGCAATATTCCAGCTATATGACAGCGGTCTATAAATAATCGAGTCTGGACCAGACAATCCAGTGATTGATATCATGAGCATCGATCCACGCAATTGGGATACGATAACATGCATCAACCAAGTCAGCGAGCCTGACCACTCGATCCGATTCGTCGCCTATTACGGCAAGCATGGGTTGCTCTACCCCGGATCTTCACGGGCCTAATACTTTATTATGCACAGTCGGGGATTCCATTGGGGCAAAAGGGTCGCTTTGTTGTAGGAGGCTGGTTGCAATAGTAATGAGTTGGATCATTAGGCTTTGTTAATGAAGATGTCAGTGTTTCACATGTGACTACCGCCTCGTTAAAAACACAGGGAGTAATAACGTTTAGCCGAGTAGACTGCCTGTCTAAGTATAGTGGGATGGACAGCCAGCTCTGGGCTCCGAACTACATCAGTAACAATGGATGTGGTAACTATCGTCATGTCTTGGTAATACCCGAGTAGAGTTTCATTTCCTGAGAGAGGGGTTATTTCGCGTTACCCCCAGTCCTCTAGATCAGTGTGTGCACGGTATGATACATCTCGTCCATGCATGCAGGACGTGGGTAGTCATGATGGGGTGCTTCGGTTTCCAGGTTCTCTCGCTGTAGTTACCAGATTTGCACCCCATGAAGATCCTTGGTGTTTGATCACCAATACTTGAAATACTGTTCAAAGCGGTGTTTCTTGCAATGTTTATATACAAACATTTGTTTTCTTCTTCTTTTCTTCAGTTTCACAAACTGGCGTGAATGTATATATTTACTATATATAACATCTACGGCAGCGTAAATAAACTGCCGGGCAAAAGACAGTATACACCAATGTTTGATGATGGCCAATAATGAAATACACAAGAAGTATAGTTATTTGATGGTGATGTATTTGATACGGGTATCGTAGTTGCGTTTTGGAGCTTCTGTTTGCAGTGTTTCGGTGACTTTTTTCACCCCAGTAACGTTTTCTAAAAGTTCGTAATGTTATGGTCTAATCCCACTTTCTTTTGTCCAGCAGTGTAGTAGCTCTAGAACTACCTACCATATATCTTTTATCTACAAAAATAAATATTTATTTATTTTTGTATATGTTTATTTATACATATTTAAATAATATACCTATATTTATCACAGTTCAGTTAACTTCACCTCTGTCCATGAAAGTCGCGATCGGTATGTGGAGTTACCAACATAAAGAGTATATTATTCCCACAGAAAGGAAGTACACGCTGACGTAATTAAACTTTATAATTAAGTTAAGTCATAAAGGTTATTGAAATAAAAAGACAGAGTGCGTACTGGGAAATCTTAGTCGATTAAGAGAAATCTTACAAGTGATTATTAGAATCTAGGCTTAGGTGGCGCATTAATCCAGCTTTTGTTATCCCCGACAGGTAGAATTAATTACATAGCGGTAATGGGTGTTCAGGTGCCTTTATACGGACATTGAATCAATAATCGGCTCAATGACTACAGCTGTGGCCTCGGGCGACATTTGATCCAGAAGAAATAAACTACTCGCACTGTAAAAGCTCGGACTGAAACTCGGTTCATTAACGGTACAAACAACCTAATTAGAATATCAATGGGTGCTGATTACGTGACACATTTTCAACAATCCGATTCCGTTTCCTGTACTGATCAGTGGAATTTTACAGCAACCGCCAAGCACATGCCGTGACGACGAGCGGTAATTTGTAAACAATCTTATTTGTCCGCCCCGATCACAAATAGCTCAGCCATCTCACACAATCGCCGTTGAAGGAAGGTAAGGTCTGTTGTGAAAACGTAATAGTTCACTCTGTAAAGTGGTTATTATCATATCACTCTGGTGTCATAATGAAAATATCGCATATAGTCGCGGAAGTCGCGTGTTGAAACATGCTTAGTTACAATGTCGGTCGAAGTTGACAGTCTGGTAGGGTTTACCTAAATGTCAGAGTGACTTTAGCACGGACGTGGTCACGTATTATGGGCAGTAGGATGAAACAGAGAGGTATTTTAGTGTGCATGTTTGTCTTTCTGAAATATTAATGTGGTTAAATGTTCGTTTCGCTATCGCTTCTTGTGATCGATAACATCGATAAGTGCAGTTATTTTTATCTGCCAATCCAAGTAAAGATAGCTACTGAAGAACTGTATTTTAACACAAGTGTAAATTGAAAACGGACATGAATTTCCAAACACGCTAATTCACAACAGTGTTATAAATTAAGGAGGGTCTTTGAGATTGCTGCAGACATATTCTCAATGTAAGTATTGTGTAAATGGCACCTTAATTTATAACTTAGATTTTTTTTTCAAACACAGGTCAATAACATGCAAATCTCAAAACTCATAACGCTAAAAATTATGCTTATCTCCAAATTTATACTTTTAACTGCACTATTGTATTGTTTATTCCAAAATGAGGCCACCGACCCATTAAACAAGTATGAACACAGACAAAGCGCAGTAATGTTTGTTTTAGGATGTACAATAACAGACAGTATTACTACTTAGGATTATCAAGGACATCATGCAAATAGCTATATATGTTTCTTTACTGTTAAAAAACATATTTACCTAGACTGTTAAGTAAAGATGTTTGATTTGAGGTGGAGAATAGCATATTACATTTGTGGTAGTTAGGATGGGTACAATGATACTTTATCAAATTGCTCTATCTTGAACCTGCATAATACAGTGGAGGCAAAACTGATATTATGATTCTACTATTAATAATATACAAAATGGACAACATCTTAAAATATATGAGCATGCTTGCTATATTTCAGACGTCATTGAAGATGTGGTCAAGGCAAATGAAACACAACTAGTAGAAGAAAAGTTTCAAGAACATCTCCAAGCCAAAAATATAGACACATACAGAGATATTAACACAGATCTTGCAGGGTTGCCAAAAATGGATGGTGGTGCGGAAAATGGTATCCATGTTACATCCAAATATGAGGATCTAGTCCGTCAACAGATGCTACACAAGGAGACATTGGATACCAGTCTGGAACATGAGGTCAACATGTCTATGAAATCGGAACTTTCAAATTCATTAAATGGTTCAGTTCGACATACACCGGTTGGGGATGTTGCTATTGAAACCTATGGAGACAATGAGGACACAGTGCTCAGTAACCATAGCAACCTTGGTTCAGTTCATGGATCGTCTCATGGCTCTGCTAGACAAACCCCTCAGTGGGATGCAACAGACGGAGGAAAGACCAGTATACTGGATGAGTTGGACATGGCGTCGAACAGGTCCCATCATAGTTCTGCAAGACAAACGCCACAAAGCAATGCAGTCGAGGATATTCTGAGAAACAGCTACTCCAACCCTTCTTCGCGACCAGGTAGTGAACATTCTGGAAGTTACCATGGCTCGAACAGACATACTCCAACAACGGGGGATGTGCTTAACGGGGAGGTGTACCAGTCGGGGGGAAGGTCAGGGTCACAGTCCTTGGAAGACTCACTACGACAAACACCAGTTGACATCAGCAGCAGACCGCCGTCCAATCAGGGATCTCTTCATGGGTCCTCCCACACACCCTTGACTGAAGCTGTGGATGAAATACTGGAGAGATATTCAAGAGGATCTAACCAAGGTAGAAGTGAATCTATTGAGGATGTTCTTGAAAGCCCTTCTCGATCAGCCCATAGCTCTGTTAGACATACACCACAGAGGGACTTGGTGAAAGAAGACCTCAGTTTGCCAAGTTCTCAAAGGCAGACACCCCAGAATGAAGTCATCTTAGAATCCTTCCGAAGCAGCCATGAAAGACTCTATGGAAGTCAGGAGATTCGAGTCAGCACTGAAATCTCAGCTCGACCAGGCAGTGCTGGTGGCAGTCAACACAGCAGTTCCAGCAGACCGCACAGCGTCACGAGTGAGCAGGAGCTGTCACAGTATCTTGACTACCCACGAGGTGACTTGGGGCCAAGAAGAGCAGCATCACTAACAGGACTGCATCACAGTGACCCGCTGCTGCCCCCGATATCGCAGGACCGCCCTGGGAGTACAGCCAGCATGCCGCCCCTCTCCTCCCAGGGCCTCGACAGACACTTCTCCACCCCTGACAATCATATCCGGCTTCCTGCAGGAGGGGGCTCTCCACAGATCAGAAGTCCTCTCGTCATGACAAGGTCAGGGTCCGTTTCAAGGTCAAGTAGCAGAACTGTTACACCTGGGTCTGTGACAGGGGCCCTGACAGAGAACGGATTCAGAGAAGTAAGTTTTGTTGTCAGAGTCTTGTATTAAATATGGTTTTGGTCTGTACAGGTTGACTGAAGTATGTACAAATATTGTATTTATGATGATTTTGCACATTTAGTACATTGTAACATGTTATAATATTGCAGATGAACTTTGATTTTTACAATTATATATAGTTTTGTAATATTCCATTTATGAATGGGTGTTTAAAGAAAAAGTTCAATTTGTATAACTGAAAACACAGAACCTTAAAATAATATTTAGTTACAGAATTTTAACAGAAATATTGAATACGGTACTACAGCATTGTAGATAATGGCTGAAAGAAAACAGACTGTCTGTGTTCAGTGGAGGTTCAGATGATTTGATGAGCCTGAGAAACAGATGGATGATGACAGATTTTTCATCATCTGCATTTATCTGCACTGCTGTAATTTGTGAATTTTGTATAAATTTATCAAGTTTTAGACTTGGGCTCCAACTTAATATCTCCTCCGTTAGACACTGAGTCTTGTGCTCTAGCACATGCCTAAACATCATGATGAATTTGTCATTGCTGGTACAGGATGCCAAGAAGGTTGATGACTACGAGGACACGATAGTGAACCTACGGAAGCTTCTGAGTGGCCGTGAGACGGAGGTGCACCAGCTGACAGACCAGGTGCAGGACCTGAAGGACATCAACCGATCTTTGATGGAGGAACTGGAACACACCAAGGCTAGCCTTGGACACAGCAGCACCAGCAGAGAGGTGAGAGCTTTGTCACAATGGTCATACAGGCATCTGATGGTCAGTTCTCTCAGAGGTTGGATCCAGATTGAGATAAGGTCACTTGCAGCCCATCACACTTGTTACGAATTGACTTCAATATATTTTGAGTTTATGGAGGTAAGAGCCTGTGTGCAAACTCTGTAAATCTGCATATTTAATGATTAACACACAAATAAAAGAAGACAACATTACAAAATCAGTGACACTGCAAGGGCGGATCCAGCATTTTCAAAAGGAGGGGTCCAAAATATCAAAAACCTCTCTCTCATTTGGTTTTTAAACGGTATGGGGTCCGGACCCCCTGCACCCCCCCACTCTAGATCCGCTTGTGCATCGTAAGCATAGTAATGCAACACAAGCTCCACCCATTCTATTATCAGCCAATCAGGAAACATTAGTTGGCCTAATTGATTTTCGTTTTATGGAAACAGAAACACGAAAATAATTGCTTGATTAGCCAATCAAATGCAACGTGATTGCTTGCAATTTATTTATTGATACATTAACCCCTCAAAAGTAATTGGCTAGCCAATCAAATGCCACAGAATCATTAGCAATTTAATTATTATTTTACAGTAGCAGTAATGCGAATTTGTTCAGGGTATTTATCCAAATAGAATGGAGAAATAATACCCTTGATAATGGAGGATGATCATGCTGTGTGTTGTGTTTCAGTATGAGAAAAAGTACAAGCACCTGCTGAGTGAGAAGGAGATTCTAGCTGTCGAGGTGGTCAAACTACAAGACCAACTGACCGCTCTTGGGGCAAAGGGGAACTCCATTGGCATCGACAACTACTCCCCAAACAACCCTTTGGCGCTTCAGCGAAAGATCGGTAAGATGTGTTGTACTTAGATGTTTGTGTACTTGCAGAAATTCTGTCGAGGAAGCCCATGGGACATGTTAGAAATGTTGGGCCTGTGTCCATTAATCTGCCTGAGATATAAATAACATGAACATACAGTTGTATAAGGGACCAGTCATTTATTATGGGTTGGGGGATGGTGTTCACCCAAAAAAGATTAGTCTCTAGGGGATGGACAAAAAAAAAATATACTCATGTTTGGGGAGGGTCTCGATAAAATGGACATTGTATAATAAAATAAGAAGTGTTTTTTCATTCTGTCTCTTTAGGGAGCTTCATGACAAAAATGTACTTGGACATAGGCAGGGTCATCCAAAAATATGACAAGTATTAGGGGAGGTTTGTTATTCTCGGTATATTAGTGCATGAAGAACCTCTGTAATGAATGACCAGTCCATCTGTAAGAATTGAAACTCTGATTCTTGTTGCAACTACCAAAAGCTAATCCTTTAGGAATCTTTAAAAACGCAGGAATATGTGCAGCATCATCCTTGATCATCCAGTGTGCTGCATCTCCATTCCTTTTGGATGAATACCTGGATCCTCTCGCTACTACAGATTTTCGTTTTTAACCCAATTTGAATGGCATAGCACTAAGAATAGTTGCACTATCAAATAAGTCTCATGAGTGACAAATGTTTTGTGCTAAGTTAGAGATTGGCATGATGAGGTGGTGATATGACTTCTGAAATGGAACTCGGGTGGTGAATGGATGTGGGGTGTTATCATAATTGAAAAGAGATACAATACACTGGATATGCGAGGGTGATGCATCGGTACAACAAAGTTAAATGTTCATGAGTGTAAATGACTGACAAGTAAAATTGTCCATAAGTTTGTTTGTTGTTTAACGCTGCACTCAGCAATATCTCAGCTTTATGACAGTGTTCAGGAAATAATCAAGTCTTAACCAGACAATCCAGTGATTGACATCATGAGCATCAATCTATGCTATTGGGATACGATGACATCCATTAACCAAGTTAGCGAGTCTGACCACCCGATCTTGTTAGTCCTATAATAAATAGTAGTGCAGCAATTGATAGAATATCCAGTTAAACTATCAATCTTGACGTCAAAGGATGAACACTTACCAATATAGTTAATGAATGAGCCATAACTGTATATTAGTTTACTGTCACAGTCTAATGTCTGCGCCAAAGTTTACAGAAACAAGTCGTGATCATCCAGCTGTGAGTGTGTCTCACAGTCACTAGTATTAATCATGTTAATAAGTCATTTTGTCATTACAGTGTCATATAGTAGATATATTGTGTTTTTTCATTCTGTTCACAAACAATGAAGAAGACGATCACCTTCATTCTTTTGGAACCACTTGTGTGAATCAAAGTTTCAATAATATTAAATGAAGCATAGTTTTACTTCTTTGATGACCTTAGCTATTATCACATATTTGGTGATTAAATACAGGGATAGACAGCATTGGTCATATTTAACTTGTCCTAAGTTCATTTTGTACCAGTGGTTTATTCAAAATATCTGGACTTTGGTATAAAACTACTACCTGTAGTCCCCCTTGATTTTGGCTAGTCTATTCAGACTGGTGGCTGTGTGTAACCCTTAAATATATCTTTCCTCACAACCTACATTAATATCTTTGAAACATCCATCAAGAATGCCATACTCAAAGGTAACATGTTGTTTCAGATGACCTTGAAGGTCACATCCAGGACATGCAGGAGGCCAATGAGACGGCGATGTTGCAGCTGACCAAGTCGGAGAAGCGTGTCAAGGAGCTGATGCAGGAGAACGAATCTCTGAGGAAGAGTCCAGTCCACTCCGTCCATGATCTGGAGCAGGACAACAGACGTCTCCAGGAGAAGGTACCGGTCATAGGCTGACAAAGAGTGAGTGAGTGAGTTGGGTTTAACGCTGCTTTTAACTGTATTCCAGTTATATCACAGCATGTCAGCTTTAAGTGGGAGGAAAGCCCGAAGCGTTGTATGTCTTAGACATTCACAACTTTGGTGAAACCTAGAAGGACAAGTTTGGTGCTGACAAACCTGGAAACATAATCGGTGCGAACCAGGATTTGGACCCACAATCATAGGTTTCCATGGGACGCAACTCCGCATAGGGCCATCTGTGTCCTGGCTAACAAAGAACGTTACTGCAGTCAGCTCCATCAAAAAAATCATTAATTGTCCCAAATTATAAGTAGCTGGTGACTTATAACAAAATTACATATGAAGACCTTGTTTCTGCAGATATCTCGACTCGGCGATGGAGAAGGGGATTACAGATCCAGAATAGAGATGCAGCAACTCAAGGATGACCTCTTGGCATTACGAGACCGTAACTACCAGCTGAATGAAGAGAATATACGTTTGAAGGAAGGATCAGATGTTAGAAGGGGCATGCGACCAGGAGATGTGTCCTACAATCGTGATCTCAAGATTACAAGGGAGACTACTCTCAGAGCAGGTATGAAAACATTAAGCATAAAGTGCTTTTCTTAGTCTTTGATTTTCATTTGCTATTGTTGATTAATGATGGCTGAGACATGACTTGCATGTGGTGATCATGAAGAAATCTTAACTGTTTTACAGATGACCATTTGAGACGACAAAGTTCAAGGACACAAGAAAAAGCTCCTCTAACAAGAGACAATGTTTCCTCTCTTGAACGAAGCTTTGGGTCTGACAGAGAGTCCAGGGACTATAAATATGCCCGCAGTGGACGAATAGATGGAACATATCTTGATAATTATAGAATAGGCAAAGTGTCATCAGGGGGTCTTGAAAGGTCAAGGTCAGAGCAAGAAGTGCAGAGTCGCTCAAACAGGTCACTTCCTGATGGACAGGTGGCAGACAGACTAGTCACAGACTCTAGTAAATATAGTCGTCTCTTTGAACGAACTCGGTTAGAGAGGGAGCAATTGTCACGTGATATTTATACGTCAGATCGGAGTAAAGAGCGTGACCGAAGAGAACACAGCCATCTTGAGAACCAGAGGCCTTCAGCAGGATCACAACTTGATTCAAGAGGTAGGTTTCTGTGTGTAATGTGTTTGTGTACATCTACAAGTATAAGACACCACTATTGTTTTTAAGTGCTCATTATGCATTGCTGATACAATGCAAACAGTTGTAGTTGTCAGATAGAAACAAGGATTGGCTAGAAACATGATAAACAAAACACCATTGTTATCTGTCCAGTTGAAATAATAACTTAAGTTTCTTAAATATTTTATATTTTGTTTCATTTTTATGATTGATTGAATATTAATTTGCTGATAAAGTCTTGTTTTTCATTTAAGATTTCATTTTTTCTGAATTTGCCAGGTTAAGGGTTTATACATGAGAATTCGAATAGGTATACAGATGTTTCTGAAAGTATGAGTTGTCCTTAGTGGCCCTTGTTAAAACACTGACACTGTCGTAAGCCAGTTGTAGTCATTTGAAACAGCGATACATAAATCTTTTGTTGTGGTCCCTCTGTAGTAATCTACAATCTGGTGCGTGACCGCATGCAGAGTCCATGGAGTAGTGCCTCACTCCACCCTGATCATGTCACCAGTGTCACCACCCTCGGTCGGGCCTCACCCCAGGGGTACAGTGCCACTGACACCCCCAGGGGCAGTATCCTCACCCCCTCAGTGTCCCATCTGGAGGGTAGGTGGAGACACGTGTGTCACACCCATACAGACTCTGTCCTCCCAACACACTGCACCGGGCCACACCTAGATGTGTTGGAAATTCATGTCACAACAGTAAAACTCACTAGAGGATATGTATTAGTGTGACAGACGGGATGTATAATATTATATTATCACATTGATTTTACTCGAAGAACAGTGAAGAGATGGGGATTATACTGTTTCCGATGGAAGGTCATCAGGTATATTTGTCATTTCAATTTCGAAACAACATTATCATAAAAGAAAATAAGTGCGGTGGAAGGCTTCAGAGGGAGGTGGGTAGAGATGATATTACTTGCCTTGTGGTACATGTATATTGATGAAACATATTTTATGTATTGGCTCAACATAGGGGACTGGTCATTGATTATGGAGAGGGTGACCCCCCCATTTTATGTTACATATTTTCATGCCCCTCTCCCCCCCAATACATGTAATTGTACATGACCCCACTCCCATCCCAGCCATATGTTGGCTACACGTCTACTCCAGTGTAGGAGACCGGACCTGGTGCAGTGAGTGAGGGGTTGATGTCTGTATGTCTGTAACTCGGTGTGTTGTCTCTGCTCTATGCCAGGCTTACCTCCCCTTCTGTCTGTCTGTTTGTCCATTACTGGTCACTAATGGTGGATGGTCATGTTGATCTGCCTGTGTAATCTCGGATCGTCATATTCTCTGCCATGTACATCCAGCTTGCCTTTATGTCAGCATCTATATACTAGTGATTGTTGTTGATGGTGTGTGCTGTTGTTGATTTTCTCTGTAAAGATATTGCCGATTTCCATCATCTGAGTCATCCAAGCTATTTCTTCCATGCATAAATGTTAATACTGCTTGTGTTGACAATCTTTATATTTGCTGAGTCAGCATCATGCAATATTCACTCGCTCACTCTACTGCTCAGCTTTTGATAGGGATATTCTGAGTGTCCAGGTGACAGTAGGCCTGTTCAGTAATCCACATCAATGATTATCCTGTTTATTTGTATCTCCATTCTGTTATTTATACCCCAGGCCAGTTCGCGACTATTGTCTGGTTCAAATAACCAGACACTAGAAATAAATTACATGTACACTGTTCTTTCATCATTGAAACAAGCGGCTATAGCACCAGTACTCGACTTGACCTTTGTGTGAGGTCTCAAATACCTCCGGAACATCTTGCACCGGTACCATAAGGACTCGCCCTACCCCGATCCTAGTACTCATCTTTTGCAACTAAGTATGTTCATTTATAATAACCTTTTGAATCCATAAAATATATGTTGAGGACTTGCTCAGATGAGGCTGCAAGTTTAATGTAGATCTATGACAAACTCACTTTCAGAACAGGCATTTTGGTTGTTGATTTAAGAATGTTGAGCTGGACAAATTCTGTGCTCAGTTAGTGATAGGTAGAGATGGAGCTGGTGACGTCACTTCTGATACAAAGCAATGTGGGAAATAGGACCAGGGTATTTATCATGGTACAATGGAGATTTAGTACACTGGATGATACTGCCATTGATCCGACACATTTTCAGCTTCATCTTAAATTTCAAAAATCCATAAGTACACATGTCCACTGGCTGTTGTTCTCAGGGATCATAAGCGGGGGAAGAATCTCAGTATGTCTATCAAAAGCTGTGTGTTACTAACTTACTACTCTGTCTATTTATATTTGTGAGACTTATTGTTTTTTTGTATGTTTGAAGGCATTGTTTGTCAGCTACATTGCTCTTTATTTATACTGAATGTGTTGGAAACAGATGAGTTCGCTTTCATGCTTGGAAGAACATGTAACATGGCCACACAGATTTCATCATAAAAAGTGGAATGATAATGATCATGAGCACAGTTCGGTGTTCTGAGTCACATGATCTGTGATATATATTTCTGTTTGAGATGGCCAAAGCAATACAGCAATATAAAATGTTCATTTCAGACAATGGTAGGGTCTCCCATTTCAGTTGTTACGATTTGATGCTGTTCTCCACAAGTATGAACATAGTGTAGGCTTTGTATTATTTATCTGGAGTAGGTTTATTGTGTCTTATCCACTGACTTCTAACACTCTTTCTCATCTGAACTGAATGTTAAACAATTACACTTAATAAATTGCTTCAGAAAGGAAGTGACAATTATGGTTAAAGATATAATTATTATAAAACATATATAATTCTAATGAAAATCAATGAATTCATAGGATTACAAATTTGTTGCATTGACACATTCTTGTAAAATTGTTTTGAGAAAATACAAATGTTTGAAATGGTCAGGTGAGCAAAGAATACAAAATTGATGTTTTTGTGAAACATATGTTTAGAAATGCCTATTTGTTGTTGTGAGGAATTGCTTCTATGCTTCCACTGTGTACAATTTAATTTTGACTGTCAGAAGACATGGAAACAGTCTCAAATAATATTGTTCAAATTAATATTGAAAAGATGGTCAGGATTTGAGGTTTTCTGAAACATAACCATTTATATAGCAGGGTGGAGAGAGGGTGGACATAAACGGACTGGTTATTTCTCCGACTTCGGGGATTCTGCAGTGCATGCTGGGAAGTCACGTGACTATGAGACTCAACACCGCAAGCAACAAAGCAGTCACGAGAGCTCCTATAATCATGAGAGATCTTATAAAGGTTGGGGGATAAAACAGCATGGTTTAGTGTCTGTGATAACCTGACTTTAAGTGAAATTGTTATTTCAAACTATTTTTATAAAAAATGTAGTTGATAGTTATGCAGGATCTTATTTCGCCAGAGAAGTAACCTTAATCTCTTCATGTATATATATCACATTTAGTCTCTTCATGTTTCATACACCTCTATTTCTTCAACACAACAGTTTGCTCTCTGAACTGTCCATCACGATAATGATAACTATAGAATGTATTTTTAAATTCTTTGTATCAACATGCGTAAGATGTATTTGACTTAACAAATATAAGCAAACTATCCAAGTATTGTTCATCATGTGTTATACCAAAGTGTTTTATGACTATAGTGTGGTTGGGTTGTTGCATGGGAAGTTGATTTGAGAGGTGTTCAGCTGTTTTCTGGTTATAGAGGAAAAATGTTAGTATTGACATGTCCATCCTCATAATGCCTGAATCAATGCATTTGTTCCGGTTGTCATGGGGTGCACGGGGTTTTATCTAGAACAGCTCAGAGGCTGTTAGTTGTCCCCAAGTCTGCAGCAAATGTTAAAGTACAATGTTAGAAAACCTTTGAATTTAGGAAAATGATAACTTTGAAAAAATCCCATATTTGAACAAAATAATTGTTTCTTCCCAAGGGTACATAGTTGTGAATCCTGGATAAGTCTCTGGTGCTTGTGAGGCCGCTTGGTCAAAGCAGCTGCAGCTCATGGTGAAAAGTTGTCTCCCTTAGATCCCAGGATCTGCTGATTGTGGGTTTTGACCACTATTATGATCCTTGGTTTGTTAGCTCCAAGGAAATGTTACTAGTCCTTCCTGAATTTACTTGTCTAGGACTAGCAGACTTACGTTAATTTTCGAATTCTATCAAATCTTCTAAACCCCCAAGTCACTCCAAGTTTTGTAACAGTTTGAATATTTATGACAAATAATATTGTCCCTCTCACTTGTCTCAGGCGACTACGACATGCAGAGGAAGTTGTACGCAGAAGACAATGGAGAGTTGAGCGACACAGCCACTGATATACTCCTCAGTAGTGACTTCATTGACCGCAAACCAACTAGATCACATCGACATCGGCGACGACAGTCCGTGGAATCGGAGTCTTTGTCTTCTGCAAGTGATGACGAACATCCTGGATCTCGGCGAAGACGATCAAAGTCTGTTGATGCTAGAGGTTGGTAGTTGTTGAAAATATTGACTCAGATGTGATAACTTTATGCAGCTTGTTTTGTCTACAGGTTTGCAGTTTGGATCTGGTCTCTAAAATATTTGAGTGTGAGTCTTTTTATCAGTGTTGGTTCCAGTGAACAAGATTATTTGAGTATGAGTGATTTGCCAGTGTTGGTTATCAGTGAACACAATTATTTGAAAGCACTGAAAACTAAAATCAGGTGTAGATTTAACAACTATTTCGTATGTAGCCAGCAGAGTTTGCTTCTTTCAAAAGTTACTGGCCCTTCTCCAAACTAACTGGCCCAAAACTAAGTTTTGCAGACCACGACTGAGTTACCTAGGGGGCTCCAAACATTTTAGAACTCCTCACCCCACAAATGCTATTTCCTGCACTCTGAGATTAAATCCTGGCTTCTATTTGCCTCATTTTGTGGCGATTTTATGAGCAAATAAAGATATTGTTGTACAGAACATTCCAAAATGGCCAACGGTTGTGTGATCTACCGAGATGAACTTAGAGTTACTCATTCACACGACTTCATCCCCCCTAAATATTTTCTCATTGAAATTACAGGACTCAAGGGCAGTGTAATAAAAAAAATTAAACATACACAGAGAAGGGGGGGGGGGGGGGGGGGGGGGGGCATTTTGAGCCATACAGGCCATCTACTTTGTGTTTCAGCAAGCCTTTCTTAATTTTAACTGACCATGTGCCAATGGGCCAGCGGGACAGCAGTGAAATTGACCCCTGGAAATTTGGGACTAATCTTTGGCAAATTCGATGGTTTCAACAAGTTTGATAAAGCACCTCTTTCTTTGTATGTTAACTCAAATTTTATGATGTTTCTGAATTATCTGTAAAGTGATGCAGAAGGAACGCTTTTTACTTTTCATACCAAGAATACCAACAAACACAACGGGTAACAAATTGAATTCGGCTTTTAATATAATATCAGTTGTCGTGCATGTCATTTCATTGACAACAGTGTATGCTTCTGGTAATGCGGGAAATGTGAACAAAAGGTTTTTAATTGGCAATAAAACTGTCTAACGCACATGATTTCAAGTGACACGCCAATTCCCAAGAAACATTTTCTTTCGTTTTAATCCTTAGCCTTATAAGCTAAAGACAATATCTCAGATGCACACAACACACGAATTACCATGTCTGATAATGGGCAACAGACAATGGACCATAGTTCCTCTGCAAACAGTGAATTTTGGTGGGATTTTGTCCAGCTCCAGATTAAACATGGCTTGCTCCTGTGATTAAAAAGTACAACAATATCATGGGATTTACCAAACCTCAAAGTATAAATCAAATTGTAAAAGCTTAAATTCCTGACAGATATTCCTGTGCAACGTTTTGCTGCTAGACGATGTTGACTACATCTTTAGTTGAAGTACCTTGACATGACACTGCTTATTGTGGCGGTCTCATTCCTACATAAACCATATTTTTTTCAAAACCTGATCAAATCAGGGAAAGATTAATATCCATACTCCCAAAGTATCCACAGTGAAGACTTTGACAATTACATGGTGTACTACATGAAGGAACATATTGACAATAACGCCTGCTTGACATGCTTATTGAGCAGCTGCACATTGTTTCTTCCAGTTGCACAGACTGATGCTCGAAGCGATTTTATATTTTCCTGTAAAAATTATAGTAGGTGATCACTGAAGAGATTATTATCGTTATTATATCTGTCACCAAAGTGTTTTTGGCAGGTCTGTTTGTCGTGTACAAACATTCCAGTGTCTGGAGCATCGGTCTGCACAACCAAAAAGTGCAATGTGCATTTGCTGAAAATGCTGCTGTATTTTGAAACAATCCACTTTTTCTTGTATATATCTTTTTATAAAATGTTGAATTTAGTATACTGGTCCCAAGTGAAGAGTTAATCTTTGAGCCTAATTTCTGTTTCAAAGTTAGTTTCCACTAAAACACCCACAAGATGTTGCTTTTCAGTCAGTAACTTTGGGAAAATTAAAGTAAATTGCATTTATATTTGCAACTCCTTCCTTAGCTGTGAAACTGTATGCAACCTGGGTATCAAAATTGATTGTTAAAAATGAATTGATAAGCTAAAGGCTGAAGTAAAAGGCTGTGATGTGAGCAGTAAGAATTTCCTTTTAGACGTATAGGGAGAGTTTTATAATAGGGATATGTTGTAATATATAGTCAAGGTTAGGGTTAGGATGTTCAAAGTTGGGACTAGTATACACGTTTGTACAAAACCCCCGACCTTTTTACTTCTTTTAGATATTCCCATTTGATTTATGAAGACTTTGTTTCTGAGTTTTTGCATAATTTGGTTGAGTTCTACATACATCTTTGCTATATTTCCTGTGCTGCTTCAGTGGAATTCCTAAAGGACTCCGTGATCTCCTGGCTAAAGATGATGTCAGGTAGAACACCTGCGATGGCAGTTGACTCACCCTCCCCATATTTGTGCCCTGTAGTGTTTGTTTTCCCTGAAAACGTCTTCCCCAATAATCTGTAAGCAAACATGTATGTGATTAGGACCCATTTAAAAGGTTATTGTCTTCACTTTTAATGTTGGGGGGATGTTTGCTGAATTATGTCAATAAATAGTCTACTCTTGAATTGACTATAAAAGGAGTCTTTCAGTAAAAATGGAATTCAGTGTGAAAACTGTTAAGAATTGGTTAACATTTCGAGAATGATCATTGGCTAGAAACATTAACGGATTGTTGATGAATGATTGATCATGAATGAGAATTGAAAAATTAAACAATGAAAGCATTCCAATTCTGTATTCTTCATGTAAAGCTTGAGGAATGGAATTGCAGATTTCTTAATGACATTTGACTGGACTCAAACACAAACACAAACACAAACACGACTACTTGGTAACATTGCACCAGCATCAGGCCTTGGAACATTGTCCATTATCAAACTTTAGATCATTACCATATTCGACTTAATAAGGGCCCAGGGTGCTCTCAAAAGTAGAAATAGGGGGCTCTTATTAGAATATTATTTTGGTGAAAAAAACAGAGTTGAAAGATAAATTTTGAGGTTCATGCTGACAGCCTGAAATGTTTATGTACAACAGATATATTTTCCAGAAATTAATTGCCCATAATTAAGGGTGCATATGACACACAAGTGCTTATTATAAGCGAATAAATAAGTCTTGCGTACATTGATCAATCGGAAGGAGTGCTAATTGGGATTGTTCACTAGCCAATATATTAGCAAACATCGCTGTGGGCGCCTATTAGAGCGGGGTGCTTATTACGTCGAATATGGTAATATGTTTTTTTTATCCTGAGAATTTATTAAAATTAACTAATATTAACAAGATTTTATGGTGAAATTGTTCGTTGGAAAGCTTCGAAACCAGCTGTAGGTTCCTAATTGTAATGTGTTTCAACCATATGAATTGCAATGTAGAAATGTGTTGCTGTGTTCTGGATTGTCCTTGTACTTGAATCGTTTTACAGAATCCTTCAGAGATTTCAATGTAGTTGACAGATTTATCTTACAAGTTTGTAACAAGTGAAAGTTGTAAGATAAATGGTATTTGACAGGCACGAGTGGAGTTATATCTTTTCCAACACACTCTAAAATCTCACTATGTTAGCACAGAATTTATGCACATTTTGTCAATTCTTGGGATCACAGTGGCACATTAATACATAACACAACAGTCACAAGTGACGTCATCCGGCTTACTACTCATACGTAGTGTCACACTCCACAAAAAGGTTTCAGCTGTGTAGGTTGTCTAGGCGATGATGATAATGCAAACCAGATAAGATCAACACTCTAAAAACTTATAGTTTTGACACAGACGTAGGTGAATTTGAATGAACCATGAGAAACTTATCAATGAATTCAATCAGGAAAGTCTGTCGTAATCTGACCTTAGGTTATCACCATGGGGTAGCCAATCACAGACCTTGAATTGATCGCACACATGTCTGATTCCTCTTGTCTTAACTGACTTTCTCAACCACAGGTGTGTAAGAATAGTTTTTGTTCACTTGTCTCCTTCGTCATGATTATCCTAACTCCGCTACCCTGGTGGATTTGTCCTAAGCTGCATTACAGGGTCAAGGCCCTTAATCCCTGTTCCTTCATGTTCAGCCTAGATAACTCCAAGCTAATCATATCAGGATCCTAAACTGACAGAAATATGTTGCTCTTTTGATGGTATGTACTACTTCACCAAGTTGGAAAACAAAAGATCCCCCCTCGCGGTTGGTCATCATACTGTTTGATGGGTTAAGGTGTAGGAAAAACAATGTAGCTCATCATAAACAGTAGATCAGCCTAAGTAGTAGGAATGTCCCGATATTACTATCCCCCGATATAAAACATATAACAATACTTTGTTCACGATATGATACATTGCAATACTTAATTCACAGCAATCTTGTGTGAATATTTAGATTTCATAGGGCATAAACACTACCGGTATCAAAAAGGCTTGAAACTTCCTGAATCTCTGGTCACCTATTTGAAAATAAAAATGTGTCATTTCAATCAATACATAATTTCAGATAAAACTTGGGTGTCAAAACCAGTTAGAAACAGATTAGAACAGAATTTAAGTCTTAAAAGTATGTACATTGTAGATATAGCATAATTAATAATGATAAAATTGTTTTTTGAAATGTAGGTAGGACCCATTTTGACAACAAAGTCATTCTGTTGCTGTTTTAAATGTTCCATGTGTGAAATGATATGGGATCAAAATATGAATTGATACAGGATTAAATTATGAATCAATACAGGTGGGTATCACGTGTCATATCGTCTGAGAATATTATTGATGCATCGAGATATTGGTGAATCATGACATCCCTACTAAATAGACCGCCTGATATTACCCCACAGACACACACACTGCTGACTATTTATTCACTGCCTGTAAGGACCTCAAGGAACGCCCGACCCGTCCCCCACTAGAGTCGACTTACAGCCTGCCCTCACCTACATGGCACACTGCCCGACCTTGAATGCACATAACACTTGCACTCCGATATCACTAGGTAGATCTTATCAGGAGCAGACCAACCTGTGTTAAGCCACAGGGAAACAGTCAGTGCCTGTGTTCACCATAACTGGTCCACAAAAGGTAGACACACGTCACGGGTAGATATTACGTGGTAGAGTTTGTGCTGTCGGTGTTATGGTTGATTAGCAGGACCATGTTTACTCGGATCACTGGTGCGGGTATTATGTCACAGCTTCATGTTACTAACACTGTTACATGTTTGTCATTGCTTCATGTTTGTGATTGCTTCATGTTTGTGCTTGTGAATTTGTCGACATAAGCTTCTGTTCCGATCATATCCCAGAGTAGAGGTATCATGTTACATGTCATTCATAAATTCCACTGTTATCGATGTTTACTGGAGTAACTCGTGCTATTGAGCTTTATGTAGTTCACATGCATGTAAAATACCATGTATCATAGTGTGGAGGAACTTTGAAAGTTCTGCGAAATGATTCACGATTACGAGTTAACAATGTACAAATTAAGGATTTGTTTGAGTGAAATATATCTGTGTAGCAATAAGAATGTTTTTGCCATCTTCCTGAGGCAAGGGAGTGAACTGACTGTAAAAGTCCAGATTCCAACTCTCGTATCACTTGCAATTGCTTCAAACAAAATAGTGTCACCCAGTCAAGACAATCTGATCGATAATCAAGATCTTTATAGCAATAAAACGGGTGAGCACCTTGATTATAAACATGGAAAGATTTGGAAAATATCTGTTGACACTAAGTTGACGGTATTTATGCTTTGCAAAGCCTGCAATAGACCAAAATCTGCATGGCAGTTATCGTACCAGATGTTGATTTCATTATGCGATTTTGATTGGACTAGGCATAGACTTGTTAGTCCAGCCAAAATATTACTCCATAATTCCAGCCTAATTTGGCAAGGGTGGAAACTGGACTTTTATAGTCAGTTAACTCCCTTGCCTCGGGAAGATGGTTTTCGCAGCCTCAGTGAACTTGTGTTTGGAAGAAGTGTGAATCAGTTGTGATGAGAGTGGTGAGGTAGCCTTGTGGTTAAAGTGGTCACTTCATTACCCTGAAGGTCTGGGTCGATTCCCCACATGGGTACAATGTGTGAAGCCAAACTTTTGGTATCCCCTGCTGTGATATTGCTGTGAAAAGTGGCGTAAAACCCATCTCACTCACTGACCACTTGTGGTGTGGAGAAGAAGCGCCGTGACATCAAACATCATGTTGTCATGACATGTAGCTGCATGACTTGTATGGGGACCACAGCTAGGCAGTCATTTTGTAACAAGTCATACTAACCAAAGATCTGCCTTTGAACTACTAAATATTAGAGACTGTGCTAAACACATTTACATCTGCATTTGATCTTGGCATTATTATCAGCAGAAATGAGTCTTTGCATGTGGATTAGTATCAGCTGATCCTACTAGAACGAAAGATCATTTTACTCAGGATTCAGACTAGTGGCTAAAGTAAGGAACTGTTTTTATCCTCGGTCTGTCAGAACCACATGATTACCTGTACTCATGGATTTCATCAAAGTGGTAAACAGCATCACTGTGTCTTTACATATCAAACTCTTATCATGTGAATGACTTTTGAAAACTCACTCACTCATACATTCCAGTCTTCCCAGTGATAATGGCTGGGACTCTTCAGATTTTAAATGTTGCTGTTGTTTCCTCCCCAGGTGACTGGGTGGCTCGTCGTACCCCAACTGGTAGTCCCTCTCGCACAACGCCCGCCATGCAGATGAGAATCTCGGCTAGTAGTGAGAGGTTGGCCCAGAATACACCTGCACCAAGTTCTGCTGGATTCCGGAGTGTCACACCTCAGCCAATCGCAACTCAACATAACAAGGGCATGATGGGAACTATTATGTCGCTATCAAGGTAGGACACGTTAATGTCATTATTGATCCCCGATTATCCAGGGTATTCTGTCTCCATTTTCCACCATAGTGTTGTCTTGAACCAGATTTGTATGGTACGATACTAGCAATAACTGTTCAATCAAATTACTCTCTAGAGCGAAATAAATATTGTGCTCAGTGATAGCAGTGGAGGTGATGCCATCACTTGCAATGAAAAGCTAAGGTGGCAAATTAGCCAGGGATGTTTATGATAGAATGGATATATAATACTCTGGATAATCAAGGACAAAGTTCTATTAAAGAATTCAGCTTACAATAGCTTTCAACGCGTCAATGCTAATCAACATGCCTAGTTGTGTAAGGTGTTCTCATGAGATGAACATTTGAAGAATTATATGTATTGCACATGTTGATGTATCCATTCTACTTTCCCAGGAATGTTTATTTTGTTAAACAATGTTCCATTCTAAGTAACAACTTCATGTAAAATTATTGGTAAAAATATTTTAGAAAAATGGCTGCCAAATTGTGACTCTTCTTGCTAGTCTTGGGTATATATGTTGCCTGCTGATCATCAGCTAACAGTGATGTGTTGTTTGCTGTAGCTCCCTGACACAGGGTATGCGTCCGTTCGCTCCACGCAGCCCTGGGGACATGAAGCTGGACGATGTGGTCAAGTTCTCCCGCCAGGGCGGCAAGCTCAGCCAGGGCATGGTCAAGTTCATCGGTCATCTGCCTGGCCGCAGTGACGTCTACCTCGGGGTGGAGCTGGATAAGGAGGGTGGGTACCTGTAATTAGTGACCACGTCAGTGAATGTTGTTTAACGTCCCAGGCAGCAGTATTTCAGGTGTATTATTGAAGTCTGTGAATAATCGAGTTTGGGTCAGGCAAACCAGTGGTTGATGTGTGAGCAACGTACCACAACTGTTCGCTTTGATTACACGTAATTAACCATATAAACAAGCAAGAGCAAATGATACAATTTAGTTGCTTTTTGCAACAAGCAATAGAGTGCTGGGGACCTATTCAAAGGTCTGATATCCAGGCAGTACTCCATGTTTGGAGTTGACCTTGGCATTGGTCTTATGGAGAACATTACAATTTTATCATAGCCTTAATTAATCATTAGGCACACTGTTTATATCACTGCGCAATAGGTATTTGTATAAGAGAGGGCCATAGAGCATCTTTCATATTTTTTCTAAAGAGGATGTTTCCAGGACCAGTTAATTAATACTATTTGAAACACGATTTTCAATGAATGTTTTTCAGGCAGTTATCTGCTATTTGGTTAGCCGAGTTTTGTTTTGATGGAGTTATATTACATCCTCAGGCCATTGTTAGTTTAATTGACTTGTGTGTACCAGATATGATCTTTTATCATATAATAGGTAGGTTTCTCGGCAGGATAAAGCCAACGGATAAAAACGATATCCGTTGGGGTCATATGCGGATAGAGATGCAAATATCAAAGGTCAAGTAGGACTACTTTCACTGTTTATAAACAAACATGGCGTCGCCCTCGTCATTCGGCGATCGAGTCAGAATTAACCATCGGGAATCTGAATAAACTACAGGTATAATTGCTATCATTATAAAACAAAACAGTCTAATATACTGAAATTCAGAGTCTAACTGTGACGTAGCTAAGGCATTTTATAAGTTTGGGCAACTTTGGAGATTTCGAAACAATTTTGCGAGGGCACGACCCGAGGCCTAGCCAAGCGGGATCAGTAGCCATATCTGTGCTTGTAGACCTCTGCGGCTTGAAACCTTTTCCACAAATTAAAATAGTTGGATTTGGCCGAAATATGTTTGAATTGTTACCTTGTTTCGTTTTGTCGCTGTGTGTACATCTGACTACACTTCTCAACGTTATGACAGGACAGACTGACTGTCAACATCGTCTGACCGTGGCCGTGACGTCTCATAGACTAGGGTTAGAGTAGCTTCCCTTTGACAAAGGGCAGTTACTCTAGCGGACAGACCGATGAATTGCCGCGAAAGGCAATTAAAAACAACTGTTGTTTTGCGTATATGTTGCTTCGCCACTGTATAAGAAACAGATTTTAGTTGGAACTATATTGGCTACTGTCATTGTCCGACTGACACATCACTTACCCTGTGACGTAATAAATATGAATGGGCGCATTCCAGGAAAACTCGCAATGTTTCGGTAATGTTTGTGAGAGAGGGAAAGCGATTTTAAAGCACAGAATTAAAGAATGACATTATATGATAAAGAGGTTATCACGCTTGTGTGTTTGGGGATGGTAAATATCCTGTATTAGGAATAAACACTATGTATTAAGCTCGCCAAGGCTCGCTAAATACAATGTTTATTCCTAATGCAGGATATTTACCATCCCCAAACACACTCGCGTGATAACCTCTATGTACAGGTTCTAGTTAACATGTTTGAAGACTTTTGACAAATAAATGTTTCATTTGTTTACAGAAGGAAAACATGACGGCACATTTGAAGCAATCCGTTATTTCAAGTGGTATGTATGCTCTTATGTTGGTAGATGACACTGATAGGCAACTTCTGGACTCATGATAAGCCCATAATGAATTATTAGATTATCTTCCCCACTTGCCCAAATTTGGATGAAAATTGAATAATATATGTATTGTGGCCTTAGCAGATAATCCTACTGTGAATGAGTTTGTCTTGACACCTCTGTGGCCAATATTTAGTCTACACACCCTAAATGCGATGCTCAAACACTATAAGTGTAGTAATACTTGACTATCCTGTGGATTATATCTCCATTACAATATAGATGAGTGAGTGAGTGAGTATGGTTTTACGCCACTGTTAGCAATATTCCAGCAATATCACGGTTGGGGACTGCAGAAATGGGCTTCACACATTGTACCCATGTCGGGAATCGAACCCGGGTCTTCGGTTGACGAGCGAATGCTTTAACCACTAGGCTACCCGACCACCCTACAATATAGATGATGAGTGAATGGAGATACAACACACTTGATGACTGAGGCTTAAATATTCATAGATGATCCATCTGGTAACATGAAGACAGTCCAAAATTAATATTATCAGCAATTCAAAATAATCAGCATTGGATTTATTTTTTAATCTATATCTGTGTTTGATTTTCAGCAAGCCCAACAAAGGAGTTTTTGTTGCTTTCAACAAAATTGTGATGGCCTGGGCACCTTGATATCGTTGACAATGTGATCATTATGTGCGCCGTATCTTCCTCAAGCCACGGACAACGCTAACCTCGTACAATACCAAAGCTACTGCCTGACAAGATGAAACACTGTGACTGTTGTATGTGTAAATATGGATGCATGCATTGCCTGAAATAGTTTGTGTGATGGCATAAGTCCTTCAAATTGTAGCCAATTACAAACAATCTGTGATATGTGGCCTTGGCTGCTTCCATTTTCTTTACTCTATTTAAAGACTATTTATAGTGCATGTACAATTAATTTAGTTCCAGACAATTTATTTATTTACTTTCTATTCATTACTTATTTCCATAGGACAGATTAGATAAAATATCTCAATGGAGGTCACATGGACTGAGTCAACAGTAGAAAAATTATATGTACCTAATGTTGGTTTACTCCAGCTAATTATACAAATACAATACTGTAGGACAGCATATAACTCTAGAAATAGAATGTTCAGAGATCAGTTGTATTTACATGTATTTAAATGTATTTGTCAATCAAACAAAATATAAGGCTGTGATTTGAACATATCAGTGAATATTTTCACTGAATACTAATATTATAGTGATTAGCAGGAATGAAAAATATACAGACTTAGAGTTACTTCCCTTGTTACAATGGCGGTGTGATCAGTGCATCACACTGTATGTAACAATAGGGGAAATTCACTCACAATACACAGGTCTGTTGGGCCAACATGGTTAAATTTATTTTAACACAAACATGATTAAAAAATACAGTGAATAAACACAAATCATACAATTGGAATTGCAAATAGCATTCATACACAATCATCTTGTTTTGATTATTAAACTTGGATTTGTAAATAGATCACCCATATTTATTATTATTTATTTGCTTTTTGTAATGCTCTATAGTTTATGTACTTTTAGATAAATTAAGTCCGTCCAGTATTTTGCTAGTGGCACTTTAAGCCTTACATCTGTGATGTCATGTTTTGTTGTGTTTGCATATTTTAATAAATGTACACTGACCATATATGGTGTTTATGTTGTTTTAGTGGAAAATGTTTAATCAGTGAGGCTGTGCAACACTGGTGATAAAAGTCATTCAATTCATTTTCCAACATTGTAACTGATAGACCATGTGTTCATGATGGCATGAAAAAATGAATGATTTGCAATATCACCAAGATAAAACCTCTGTGGGAGCCTTGAACAACTTTCATTAAGTTAACTGGCACACTTCTCTCAACATGCTCAAATTCAAGAGTATGATGCTTTTGGATGGATGTCAGGGTATAAATTCTGTACTGTACAGTGTACACTCTGTCCTGTCATGACCAGAGTCTTCAATAGAGCTGCCGGGAAGATCCGGGTCAGAATAGGTCTTCAGCAACCCATGCTTGCCATAGAAGGTGACTATGCTTGTCGTAAGAGGCGACTAACAGGATTGGGTGATAAGGCTCGCTGACTTTGCTGATGCATGTCATCGTATCCCCATTGCATGGATCGATGCTCATGGTGTTAATCACTGGATTGTCTGGTCCAGACATGATTATTTACAGACCGCCCTCATATAGCTGGAATATTGCTGAGTGCAGCGTAAAACAACAAGCCAAACCAAAACCAAACCTCCAAGAGTAAGGTGGTCAATACTTGGTTTCATACATACTACCTGTATACCTTAAACAACCTTATTAGCTAAGAACAGTCACATGATTCTAGAAATGTCACTATTACATAAATAATTAACCAGGGCTAGGGCTTCGGACCAGTGGCTAAAGTCGCAAACTGGAACTGGTTTACTCCAGTCTGTATACTGTGTCTGAGTGGGGTAACTGCAGCAGCTTCTCAGTGGGCTCGCACCATAAAACTGAATTTACTGTGGACTAGCATAAGCAGCCACATACACATATACACACGTGCATGCCTCTCACTATAGGCTACAAGTGCAATAATCTTGAATGCGACCTTGTATTCCTCACTTACTGTTATGTTGTCGCAGTGATAATAGTCTGTAGGGATATTGCTGCTTAGAACAGTACTAAGTGTGTCAGCCTACCCCTGAAGATCCAGATGGGTACTGGTCTTAAGCAGCTATGCTTGTCGTAAGAGGCGACTAATGGAACCGGGTGGTCAGGCTCGCTGACCTGGTCGATGCAGGTCATCGTATCGCAATTGCGTGGATGATCGATGCTCGTTTTCAATCACTGGATTATCTGGTCCAGACCGCCGATATATGTGGAATATTGCTGAGTGCGGCGTAAACAACAAACAAACAAAGCGAGTATATGTGGGTTGTAGTCAAAACGGCCTCAAAACTCAAAAGTCCAAACGGCCACACGAGAGTCAAAATGGCCACAAACCCAGTCAAAATGGCCACACACAAAAAGTAATAACGGCCACAACAAAAAATAATAATGTTAGCAGGATGTGTTCAGAGTTTATTATATACTTCAGTGGGAAAGGCTGAGTTTTCTGAAGTTGAGAAAAGTGATATTTTCATTGCAGTGAACATAACACTTGATATTTCACTTCTGTGAACAAAACTCTTTGAGGGAACTATTGTCCTACAAGAGTTACCTCCCCTTAAATTGTCAATGGTCACGATGTTGTACAGGTCCGCCTCTACGTTCACTATCCGTTAAATGTATGATACAACATAAAAGTTAACTCTTCCCATTATGTCTTCAATAGTAAGGGCAGCTTAGTATCGTACGAGTGAACGATCTCTGAACGCACTCTTTTGCTGTAAATACTGGTGTTAAGCAGCTCTCACACTTTGCCGAGGTGGTTGCCGAGCTCTCCCGAGCCTAACTCGGTTAGGACTCGGGAAGAGACTACATATATATACGAGTTTCACACGAGTACGCTACGTGTGTGTTACGAGCCCCATAGGAGTCAATAGGAGTCTATTAAGAGTTACATACGAGCACAACGATCTCGATACGAGCTGTACGAGTTTGGTACGAGTTTGGTACGACTTTGGTATGAGGTGGCTACGAGCTGCTAAATAATTCGGCGGGAATTTGTCACATGATGTAACAAGGAGGCTCGTATAGCTCGTATTAGACTCGGTCAACTCGGCAATAAATTTTGCAGACGATCCTCATACGAGTTCTGTACGAGCACCACGAGGGTACTACGAGTAGGACGAGTGTGTTACGAGTTTGTTAGGAGTTTGCTGGCGGCCCGAGTGTTTTGAGCAGTTCCAAAACTCACGTAGATCAGTACGAGGTATCCCGAGTTACCCCGAGTTTAGTACGACCTCGCTACGAGCTCCATACGAGTACCCCCGAGTCAGCTCGGGTCAATACTCGGCAAAAGTGTAAGAGCCCCTTTAAGCAAGGATGTGCTTTAAAGCCAAGACGGTATGTAGATAAATAATGCATGTGTAACCATGACACTTCGCATGTATGCGGACGACAGCGTTCTGATGGCACCAACCAAAAATAAACGACCAAAAATGATAGATATTGTCCATAGATGGTGCCGAAAATGGAGACTTCATATAAACCAGCACAAGTCCAAGATTGTACATTTTAGATGTAAGGGTTTACCCAGCTCAGATTTTAACCTTTTGTGTGATACGATGCTAGAATACACGAAATCTTACAAATAACGCCCTTATTACGAAATATAATGGCTTGTGACGTTTACCAACTTTTATGAGACAACGGTGGAGCCGATTCTAATGTGTGGGACTCGATATCTACTCTCAACGTCAAATTAATAAGCTCCAAAACAGAGCATGTGGCGTCTTCCTATGTGTACAAGGTAACCCATCAACATTGCTGTACAAGGCGAAATGGGGTGGATATCTTGTTTAACAAAGCAAAGACGTATAGCATTTCGCTCTAATATAAAATATATATATAAAACTTCCGTTAATAGGTCCACCAAAGTTCTGTCCGAATGGACCAAACCAGGAAAGATATCTTTTCCCACTGTGGTTGAGAATATCTGCACCAAATGGACATTTCCCGCTTCGTATGTGCGCCTGGTTCGTGCAGTTGAGATTCGTCCGTCATGCCAAACGCCCCGGTCCGATGCCCCACATGCAATGTGCGAAGCCCATTTCTGGACCCCCGTCGTGGTGTTGCTGGAACATTGCGAAAAGCGGCCCAAATAAAAGCAGCAAAACCCATTCCACAATGATAAGAAATATCTGCTAAAAACCGAGTCCTTTTTACGATTCCGACTATATCACATAATGATGACTCATTCTGCATCCACACGTGACGTCATTCCTTCTGGAGAGTTTAGATATATTTGATCTCGACACTTAGGATATCCAAAGAAATTTATTGACATTTCTTCGTTCACAAAAAGAGATAAGGTTGCACTGAATGAGAGAACCGCCAATTTTTGTCACTCGTTCTAAAATAATAAAAGTATCTCTTCCATTATATCAACAGTGCAGCTTACTGCGATGACCTCTGAACTATCCAGTTACATCCCGATACATATGTATACACTAAACACCTGTTAATCAGGAAACGTACACCCCTCAAGGTTTGATATGGGCTTTAACGCGCGGGCGTTATATAACATGGGATACGAACCCGATGCACGTTACACCATAATGCAAATCCTGAACCAAGGCTTTCAGCCTCGGTGGTGTGGTGAGGTGAAATGGGGTTTAACGCCGCGTCCAAGATTATTGCACTTATATAGCATTATTATGTGTGTGTGTGTGTGTGTGTGTGTGTGTGTGTGTGTGGCTGCTTGTACTAGTCCGAACTTATGCCGATTTATAGTGCTAGCACACTGAGATACCATGCCGCAGTTTAACATGACTCCCCAACTCAGACACAGTATACTGACTCCGAGCCGACCAGTCCTTGTTTTAGCCCCTTAATGACGAGCGCCAGACATGCCAACAACAAGTACCACCTTTTAACGTCGTCTTTTGGTATGACGCAGCCGGAACCGAACCCCGGACCTTCTGCTCACTGGGCAGACGCTCTACCACTAGACCACGGAGGCGGTCCTTTCATCATCGGCACGTAGACATAAAGGGTATAGTATAAAAAAACCCAACTACTGACACATTGGACAATATACACCCTTGTGGAGTAGCTTTTTCTGTGGGAACGGTACAGTGTGCATTAACAGGGTTTTACAGTAGAAAACAGGGAGTCGTCCACAGTGATAGAACTTCCGCTTTAATGGTGATGGTAATAGACTGACATTTAGCCCCAGAAAAAAAGTAATTTTAATAACAAATATCCAAATGGAAGCCGAGAACAAGCCATTATTTCAGACGCCCTAGAGCTGTGGCAATGCAGACTTGCTTGAACATTCCAGACTTGAGTTAAACTCCTTTTTTAATTGATTCTCTAGAGTCTGGGAGACAGCAAACGATGACAATTATAACCAAGAGATCAATACACTACCAATAGGCATGACAATGTTGCATTAGGTTATCCTAATAAGAAAATCAATAATATATGTATAGTCTCAAGTTCACCGTCTGTCCTCGGGATCGAGGGTCGGTGGTTCGAATCCCTGGCTGCGTCATACCAAAAGACGTTAAAAGATTGTACTTGTTGTTTCCCTGCCTGGCCCTCGTCTTTAAAGGGATGCAACAAGAACTGGTCGGCTCAGAGTCAGTATACTGTATCTGAGTTGAATATTCATGTTAAACTGCAGTATGGTATCTCGGTGGGCTAGTACTATATATAAAACCGGCTAATGTACGTCACACGTGTTTGCACACATAAGTCAACTACTCCTTAACGCGACGTTAAGTCCAATCTTAGCGCTAAGGTCGCTTTGTGCAAGAGGACCAGAAGACAAGTGCAAAACTAATTTCACTACCGTTAGTTCCCAAGCAGAGTTTGCAACTATAGTCCTGCTAGAGTGATTTGTAGCATGGAGAACGCAGAGTGGAAAGTTCACATCATTGTTGCACGAAGGTAGATGTACGAGGTGTGGTGAGGTGAGGTGTGGTGAGGTGAGGTGTGGTGAGGTGAGGTGTGGTGAGGTGAGGTGAGGTGAGGTGAGGTGAAACGGGGTTTAACGTCGCGTCCA